CAGCACCCTACAGGCAAGTGAAACCAGACAAGGCACAAAAGAGGTTAGACCTTCTCTTACCACCTAGATTCCATCTTATTCCCCACTCCGCACCCTTCCACCCCTCACGCCCTCACCCCGCTCCGGGCACCCCAGTGGGCTTTGCCAGTGACAGGTTAATATGCCCCACGCGCGGGCCTGAAGGAGTCTGTGTACCACTTGAGTTCCTGAAAACACATCCACTACCCCTGCCGGTACACTAGATGATTGGACCACAGATGAAACTAATGAAGCCAAATGAAACTAATTCAAAAGCAAGGCTAGGGCACACAGATTCTTTCTGAGGGGATTTGGCAAGGAGACGTGAAGCGACTGAGACATTTCGCCGTGGGAACAGTGGAAAGACCATGTAGGTCAGGGTTGAAGCTGGAGGTTGGGGCATGAAAGCCACAGAGAAAGCTGAAGGTATGGGGAAGCAGAAACCCTGAGCCACGAGAAGAGGCTGCAGTCCATCGATCCTTATCATCCGCTTGTTCTCTATTTGTCATTTGTTTACTTGCTAAAATTTATTTGTAACCCCCAAATCAGTACTTGCGGTGCTTTTGCAGTCGTTTGCAGACATGAGCAAAATGGTGAAAAATTTGGGTCATCCAGCGCCGCATTCCCAGCTGAGGTCGAACAAGGAGGTACTCTGCCTTCTTGTTTCAGCTCTCGTGCTATAAACAAGTGTCCTTTCCACGGTTTCTTTAGTACCACGTTTTTCACATTTTTATACTTTTTGTTGGTGACTTCACTGTTTAAAATGACCCCCAAGTGTAGTGTAGTCCTAAAGAGCTGTCTAGCGTTTCTAAGCTCAAGAAGGCTGTGACGCTCCTTCCAGAGAAAATACATGTATTAGATAAGCTTCCTTCAGGTTGTAGAGCTGTTGGTTGTGAGTTCAGTGTTAATGAATCAACAGTAAGGTGCCTTAAAACAGAAATACACATAAAGCCAGGTTATGGATTGATCGGTTGGCAAGTGTTGTGACCAGAGGCTTGCAGGAACCTAATCCTGTATTTCCCCTAGGAGTAATGGTTCTCTATTTGCTAATTCGATGTTTGTGTCAATTTTAGAGAACGTAACTGCTGTGAGCAATGACAGTCGAGTATGTTGAGGGGTAAAGAATGAAGCAAACACAGAGGAAAGCAGGTGAGGGATTGTGCTGCTCCAGAGAGACAGAGAAGCTACCTGCTCCCTGGTGGCTCCCAGTTTCAAGCTCAGTTCCATTGAGGACTGGCTGAAATTTATTCAGTGGCATCTCAGTATCTTTACAACTTTTATATAAGCTTGGTTGAGTTTCCTCTCCTTGCAACCAACAAAGTTTTGGCTGAAACTCATACTCCATACATTACCTATCCTGAGGAGGCAACTGTGGAAAGATGTAGTGGTCTCGCCCTTTGAGGGCTGGTCCACGGCCGCTATGAAGTCCATGCTGCTGAGGTTGCGCTGGTGTGTTCCTGACACAGGTGCTGCATCACAAAAACACACCCCACCTCAGGGAGGTCTGTGTTCTAACTAAATGTTCAACGCCACTCGAAAAGAGAGTTTAAGAACTTGAACTTTTAAAGAAACCAAACTTTGGTGTCAGTGTGAATTATCAATGACAGATACTTTGCAGCAACTTGCTTTGGTTTCTAATTTGAAGGATGGCAGTTTTAGGATGGTCAATTTTATTTTATTTTTTTTTTTTGCTGGGAGACAGACACATTTTTGAAAACAAGTTCCAGTCTGAACACCCCTTGAGGAAGGGACTGTTTATTTGACAAAGCAGTGTGTGTCCCCACATGGGAAATTAGAGAGAGAGAGAAGCACCAGACCATGCAGAAAAAGAAAGTTTTAAGATTCTCTAGGTGAAGGAACAGGCTCTCCCCTGCATACTTGGTTTGATGACTGTGGAAAGTACACATTCAGTGGTGTCTGAGCGCCAAGCAGGCCCCATCGTTCTTTCCTAGCCCTCTGTGGTCTGTGATGACTCCACCCCACTAACCAGAATCTCTCACTCCCCAAATGCATGGTCTCCATTCCGATCAACTGTTTATTCCACTAACAGACCAAACTTTTATTCTGCCGTGCAATCTCTCATGTTTGTCTTATCTGCTTCTGAGCTCTCAGAATCTTCCCTTCAAAGCCAATCCAGTTACTCCTCCCCAAGAAACTATCATTGGTCCTGTGAACTTCCTTTTCTTTGCATTGCTTCTCCATCCCTGCTCTCTGAACCCATCTGGTACTTGAAGACAACCTTCTTTTATAGCCTACAGCGTTTCCTAATGAGGCTGACTCTAACAATAATGAAAGTTTCAGTCAACTCAAGAATCCTATCAGTACAAAGGGGTAATAATAATTCAAGGCCACCTATGATCCATAATTTTCCAAAAGCATGGTTGATCTGAAGTCAACCTCACTTCTTGGGGACCCTGAGCACATTAGCACTTGCTAATATCCGTGGTTGTCCCAGCACATGGAATAAGTTAGTTTAGCTCATATGGGTAAATTTTTCATTCCCAAAGACTTATTTTGTTAGTGCCAACCTGAAAATAATGCTATACTGTCTTTGGGAAAGACTTTTCCCAAGTAATGTTAAGTCTCTTATTGCCAGCTCATTCAGTCTCATAAAAGCTTTCTGAGGTAGGGATCTCCCGTCTTTTTTAAGGCAAAGAAACTGAGGCCTCACAGGAATAGTTTATACAGAGAGAGAGTTGGGGCTAAAAGCAGACCTTCTAGGTCTAGGTCTAGGTGTAGCAAGAGAAACCAGGGAAGCCTCACTCCCACAATAGGGCCACCATGAACAGTTGGGCAGATTGCATACTGCATAACTTCAGAGTTTATGAGGAGTTGACCTCTTTGGCCAGATGTGGTGGCCCTGCTTAGTCTAGAACCTAGCCTGAGGTGAAGTGAAAGCTGGTGCTGGGTACTAAGGAAGAGACTGAGGGTGCTTCATCTTAGTCCTCTTCTTGGACAGCCAATCCAGATGGCTTGCACTCTCTTTTATTCTTATTGGGGTCATTGGAAGGGGAGAGTTTGTCAGGCCTATCTTCTCAGTCTCCTCTTAATAGCGTTCTCATTTCTACAGAAGGCACCAAGCCAAAATTTCTTAAAGGGTCAGATTTGCAGATACATTTGATTACTATGAAGCCAGAGACAAAGAGACCACATCCTTAAAACATCTGGGGCCAAGATCTATGCATTATGGACTTAACTCCTGACACATTTGGCACAAGTTGAAAAATGAAGGAAAAAAGTGCCCACTGTCTCTAGAGGCCTTAGGAACATACAAGGCAAAACGTTTTAGTTGTAGACAAGAAAATGCTGGAGAGTCAGCAAGGGATGAGCTGGTCAGGAAATATCCACTTCCTGTGGATACTCCCAAGTCCTCCCACTCTGGCCAACCGCATTGCAGATGATATAGCCAACAAAACACTGTACCAAAACGGCACTATTGGCTCAGTTGGCTTCAGTCAGCTGCGCCATTGACCGTACTTGCCCATGCAGGACCTTCCAGGTTTCTTCCTGAGGCAGGGGATGGTCAAACAAACCAACAAGAAAGATTTGTATCAGAAATGTGGCATTCTGGAAGCAAGGGTAGGCATTTATCAGCTGCAGCTGAAGATAAATTTCCAGACTCTTTCAGGTACAAGCAAGGAATTCAGGTTGACTTTACTTTGTAGAATGGCTTAAAAGAAATGGTTTTAATTTAATTATGGGAGTTTTTCAATACCATGGTATAAGAATTCTGTGATTTACCTGCGCTCAGATGAAAGCCTACTCTTGAAGTTTGCTGCATTAGATGGGAATTAGTATGCTAAGTCCATTAACCACTGTTTTCAAAGGAAATCAGACTTGTCTCTTAAATTAAAAAAAAAGAACAAATTGCAGCGAGTCGTGCTGAGATGCCTTGTCTTTAGCGAAAAGGGAAGTATGTTTTCTCTGACCAGCCCACACAAAATCAGATATTTAATATGATTACTGAGAAGATGGAAAAGGTTTTCAGGAAAGACTCCTGTTGCTCAGCTCCTAGCAGCCTGTAAAGGAGTAAGTAGGAAGTCGAAGGGACCAGCCAGCCTGTTAAAATGAGGCCTAGAAATGGGATCTTTGATTCTGCACAGCAGTCCTGTGAAAGCAGAAGGTACAAATGGTGGGTTAGGCTGGCAAGAGAGTCCAAACCAACCAACTAAGCAACCAACTTACTTTTAAGCACATACTATTTACATGAGGGTACACAAATGCAGGGTCACTGTCCTCAGGAAGTAGTTGTATTTTGGACATTTGGCTAACCAGGAAAACAGGAAACACTACAGGCATTTACAACAGGGAATTGGTTACAGGTGATGGAGGAGCCGAGACACCGGCAGAGGATAGTGCTAGCAGGAAGCCTCTACCAGCCCCCAGGCTGGAGGGAGTAAGGCAGCCTTTGCAGAGGTCCATGGGCAAGGGTTATGAGGCACAAGTGGAACCAAGGTGGGTCTGTCTTGGGGCTGGAGCTGTGGAGGAGACGCAGCTGTTGCCAGAGAATGAGTCTGAGGCAGAGAATGAGGGAGAGAAACACCCTAACTTACCCTTGTTCCCCCTGCCAATACCTCACCAGTGCCTACCATTGACTGAACCCAGGCAGGAGCCAACTAACATACGGGCCTGGGAAAGATAACCTGCAGGGGTCAGTCCCCCTGAGAAGCATAGAAGGGCAGGGGAAGGGCAAGGAATGGACTGGGGGGCAAACAAGCCTCCGCCTGGAGCATGCTTGGATCATTTTGTACCTTCAACCACAATGACTTCACCTCGTCCTGGGCCAGACCATGACAAATCAGTTGCAAACACAAGTGCTGGCTGGAATGGGCTCTGGGGTCAACCACTACCTCATCCTCTCACCAGCTACTTAACCCCATTTGGGGCTATCCCAAGACCCTTTTCAGGAGGCTCCTTAATTCTTAAGCAACTATAAGTAACTATAACACACACAGCCTGACATACATACTGTCTCTTCACAGAGGCCTTGGAACTGACTGTCCTCACTCCTGTTCCCTGTGGAGAATCCCAGGATCTAACCAGCCCCATGGTCAAGTGAGTAGAATTTTGTCTGGCTTTCATTTCATCTGTGGTCAGTTCTGACAAGATCAGCTTGATAAAGACTCTAAGCCCCAATGTGCCTAAATTGATGCTTTCAATTTAGTGCCTCAGTGCCTAGGTAACAGCAGCCCTCCAATCTGGGTGTTTCTCTGAGTTGATATCACAGGCCTATCTTGCTAAAATCAGCCTTATCAGTATTATCAGTTCAGAGGTTTTGGTGTTCCTAACCAGCTGTATGACCTCAGACAAGTTACTTAGCCTGTTTAAATCTCTGTTTCCTCATCCGTACAATAAGAGCAAACACAGGCCTGTTGTGTGGCTTAAATGAGCGAACAGCTAGTAAAAGCATTTATCTCTGTGCCTGATACACAAGCAGTGCTCAATAAATACTATATCCTGTATTGGTCAGGATTCTTCTAGTTTAAGTGATAGAAGCCCAATCTGGATCTAGGAGTTTATCCGCGGTCCTCACTCTGGGTTTTCTCTATATTCCTCTGATTGATTTCACCCTCAGGCAGACTGTCCCCCGTGAGATGGCAGGGTGGATGCTGAGACATCCTCCTTCCTGAGCAACCACAGGAAAAAGGGATTCCAAGAGTCTCCTGAAGTCCCTGGAATGGGGTTTCATTGGCCTGTTTGGATCACATGTCCAGCAGTGAGTTAGTCACTGGGGCCAAAGGGTGGATAGACAGCTCCAGTCGGCCAAGCCTAGGTCATGTGCCCATGTAGGCTGAGAGTAAGAGAAGTCAGTTCTCCAAAAGGAAACGGCAGAGCTGTTTCAGGAGGAATGGATGTTAAGAAGGCAAAAACAAACTATTTCCACTACAGCAGCTATTGTTCTATTATTATTACAATTTACTATTTATTATTTACTACTAGCACTTCCACTATCCCTACTACTACTACACTGTACAGCTACTAAAAAAACTTGGAGGAATATTCAGTGAACAACTTGGTTAACAGCCAGGGAAAAGGGAAAATCATAGAAAGCTATTATGGGAGAAAAAGTGTCCTGAATAGAAGGAAACAAAATGAAAGAGCTTTTATCAGTAGATGAAAGGTGAAGTTAAAGCAAAGCCTGAAATGGTGAGTTCTAGGGGATCGTGTAAGCATCTTTCAAAAACAAAAGTGATCTACAAAAACAGAAATATAGATCAATGGAACAGGATAGAAAGCCCAGAGATAAACCCACGCACATATGGTCACCTCTTTTTCTTTTTTTTTTTGCGGTACGTGGGCCTCTCACTGTTGTGGCCTCTCCCGTTGCGGAGCACAGGCTCCGGACGCGCAGGCTCAGCGGCCATGCCTCACGGGCCCAGCCGCTCCGCGGCATGTGGGATCTTCCTGGACCAGGGCACGAACCCGTGTCCCCTGCATCGGCAGGCGGACTCTCAACCACTGCGCCACCAGGGAAGCCCAGTCACCTTATTTTTGATAAAGGAGGCAAGAATATCCAATGGAGAGAAGACAGCCTCTTCAATAAGTGATGCTGGGAAAACTGGACAGCTACAGGTAAAAGAATGAAATGAGAACACTTCCTAACACCATACACAAAAATAAACTCAAAATGGATTAAAGACCTAAATGTAAGGCCAGACACTCTAAAACTCTTAGAGGAAAACGTAGGCAGAACACTATGACATAAATCACAGCAAGATCCTTTTTGACCCACCTCCTAGAGAAATGGAAATAAAAACAAAAATAAACAAATGGGACCTAATGAAACTTCAAAGCTTTTGCACAGCAAAGGAAACCATAAACAAGACGAAAAGACAACCCTCAGAATGGGAGAAAATATTTGCAAATGAAGCAACTGACAAAGGATTAATCTCCAAAATTTACAAGCAGCTCATGCAGCTCAATATCAAAAAAACAAACAACCCAATCAAAAAACTGGGCGGAAGACCTAAATAGACATTTCTCCAAAGAAGATACACAGATTGCCAACAAACACATGAAAGGATGCTCAACATCACTATCATTAGAGAAATGCAAACTACCATGAGGTATCACCTCACACTGGTCAGAATGGCCATCATCAAAAAACCTAGAAACAATAAATGCTGGAGAGGGTGTGGAGAAGAGGAACCCTCTTGCACTGTTGGTGGGAATGTAAATTGATACAGCCACTATGGAGAACAGTATGGAGGTTCCTTAAAAAACTAAAAATAGAACTACCATACGACCCAGCAATCCCACTACTGGGCATATACCCTGAGAAAACCATAATTCAAAAAGAGTCACGTACCACAATGTTCATTGCAGCTCTATTTACAATAGTCAGGACATGGAAGCAACCTAAGTGTCCATAGACAGATGAATGGATAAAGAAGATGTGGCACATATATACAGTGGAATATTACTCAGCCATAAAAAGAAATGAAATTGAGTTATTTGTAGTGAGGTGGATGGACCTATAGTCTGTCATACAGAGTGAAGTAAGTCAGAAAGAGAAAAACAAATACTGTATGCTAACACATTTATATGGAATCTAAAAAAAAAAGGTTCTGAAGAACCTAGGGGCAGGACAGGAATAAAGACACAGATGTAGAGAATGGACTTGAGGACACGGGGAGTGGGAAGGGGAAGCTGGGATGAAGTGAGAGAGTGGCATGGACATACACACACTACCAAATGTAAAATAGATAGCTAGTGGGAAGCAGCCACATGTCACAGGGAGATCAGCTCAGTGCTTTGTGACCACCTGGAGGGGTGGGATAGGGAGGGTGGGAGGGAGACGCAAGAGGGAGGAGATAATGGGGATATATGTATATGTATAGCTGATTCACTTTGTTATACAGCAGAAACTAACACACCACTGTAAAGCGATTATACTCCAATAAAGATGTTTAAAAAATAAATTAATTAAAAATTTTTTTTAAAAGTGATCTAAGTAGCAATGTGTAATACATTTTGTAGTTGCCAAACTGAAACTACCTCACTGTGGTTGTTTTAGTAATGCTTTAATGGCTGTACAAAGCATGTTGTATGCTCTCAGCACCATACGTCTGTAGTTGCAGAACTGACACAGGTATCTATGAAGCAGGCCAACAACATTCCCTGTACAGGAATGCCATGTCCACAACACCTTATTGCAGATACAGAGATACATTTTGCACATAGGAACCTTGTGACATGGGAACATTCTAATATTTCTTTCCTACTGTCTTAAGTGAAATAGGTATGAGATATGTATAAGGAATTTCTGACAGAAAGTTCAGGGGCTATAACTTAAAATGAAACATTGTTTGGCTATTTGGCAATGCTATAGTATCCTTGAACAACCGGTTTACTCCAGGATTAGTGATGTATACCAGTATATAAATATACAGAGAATGAGACCCAGAAAGTGGCAACCCTGCACTTGAACTTGAACCTATGTTTTATATACCAACGTATGCTCTGTCAACAGAATGATCTCTATTTAAAGTTGTGCTCCACAAAGCGTTGGAAAGACTTTGCACATTGCCCCTCTTTGTAAACTAAAACTATGTTCTCAGAAATTTATTTTCCTGTTGAACATTAATAAAATGTTAAAACTAATATGCTATAGGATTTGCTTAAAGCTAAGCCTGTCCATGCAGAACAGTTGAACAACTTCAGGAGAAGCTGGTTATTTGGGCCATTTGGATGTTTCACCTGAAGAGCAGCCAGACCAAGTAGGCCGAGGTCCATCTGAGTATAAGAAGTCAGCTGATTGGGCCAAGCAAATCCTTCAGTTCAGTGTAAGTAGAATATATGTTTTCTGTTTGTTTTGGTTTTTAAAGAGACTGTGCAATGGTTAGACCACATGGTTTTGTGTAATAATTTTTGAATGAGAAGAAAACCACATATCTAAGGTGAACACTTTAGATAGGCTTGTTGAGTATTTTCTTAACTATACAGTAATGTTCTGGGGAAGCTAGTCAAGTAGCATTTTGAAGTCTGATACACTCACCAAACAGAAAAGAATAATATGACTTTATAGTTCTAGACGTGATTATACTTTCCAAGCCACTGGTAGTAATTCTCTCAGCCACCCCACTGGCAGGTAGGGCTGACACCTAATTTAGTGCCCATCCCACTCCTTTCCATAATAACACAAACAGAATGGAAACATTCTTCACCCATGTTGAGAAAAGCCAGTCATTTGGTTTTCTAAGGCTTTTTTTTTTCCTTTCATATTTTGAAGGGTGGTGCAGACCAGATTAAAAAACATGGCTCAGGGAAGCAAGAAATCATTCCCCCAAGCGTTTATTAAGTGAATCACAAATTCATTCAGCCTGACTGCTTACCCAGAGAAATTAAGGGAAAATGGTAAAAGTTGTGAGCCTCTAAGTATCTTCAACTTTAGGATCTCCCTGGGAAGGGTCACAAATGTAATCCTTTTCAGCTGTCCCTGCCTTGCTTCCACTGTCAATGGAAATATCCAGGCAGGATGAACACACTTTCTGACTAGACTCTGGACTGACCTAGACAGCTTTTTGGAAATTTAGGATATACTTTTCCTAAAGCCTCTTAATTTCTCCCATCCCTCCCTGATTGAAAACATCATTTATCCCAATACAGCATGTGGAAAGGGAGGGGAGGGAGAAACAGACAGTTATCTGAATTCAGGATAAAAATTACTTTGTGAGTTTATTATTCTCATCCATAACAGATGACAATTTTCCTGTCATTTAGCTGATTCTAGAGCAGAATCACCAAGCGATATTAAGTACTATTTTTCTTACTATTTATCTTGAGGGCCCCAATGAGACATGTGCACCTACATTTAATAACCCGTGATCCATAACTTGCATATTCCCTGGAAATGCTTGGATATTTTGTCAAGTGCAGCTAGCCATTATTTCACTGGCCATATGTTAATTACCCTGCTTCACTTATATTGTGGTGGGTTCCAAAGACTTAGTCTTCCTCCAGTGTCTGAGAGCTGTCTGGAAATCTTAGTTCTAAAGAAATTTGTGAATTTGTAGTTTCTGAAGTAGCTCTATTCCTCATTTGTTGTGTGACAG